ATGGTGGCCGTTATAAAAGAAAAAGAAAAACTTTGTCTCGTAGGCCCCCGCATTGCTGGGATAGAGTGTGTATCCCGCCGGCAATGGTAGGTCGCCGAGACAAATAGTACGAGTTCTTGTCCTACTCTTCTTAGGTAGTAGGCGACGCCGAGCTCCAACGCCGTTGGCTCTCCCAAGCCGTTCTCGCAGCACGCGATGTACATGCAACAGCGATGACATACGCGTTTGGAGTCAACTGCATTGGTGCGATCCCGAAATGATCCAGGACCGACCTGATGAAAGGATGAGGAAGGAATCCTCCCTCCACCCTTGAAGATCTCCTCAGAGATCGCGGCAAGGCCATGGGCGGACGCCGTGACGGCTTAGTGTGTCGAGGAACACCTCGCCGCGGATGTCGAAATGCCTCTTTATTCTAGCATATTCGTCGGAGGTGAGAAACCGAGTAGACATCGAGAGCTGGTCCTCGGGAGCTCGCGAGGACGAGCTGGTCCTTCCTCGGGTCGGATGTTGACGGTTCCATTCCAGTCTGCAAAATCGACAGACATGGTCATTTGGCCTTCGTGCTTGTCCCGTACGGCGGCAGGGACAAACTCTTAAACCAACAGTAACTCGAGCCGCCGTACACGGCTCGAATCCAATGACGGCGTCACGTCCCTGGTGAAGCACGGGAGACCAACACCATCACCAAACAAGCAAATGCAAAGAAAAGAGGAAGAAGAGAATCTTACCTTCTGTGATGAGTAACGAGACCGAAGCTCGTTTCAGTTGCCTGAGAAGTGCCGATCGGGAAAGAATGGTTTCTGATTTGCAAAGGAAATTTCGTTGACCTCATCTGAAAATGCGAGTTTTTAATGGATTGCGAATCTACGGTTACCACCCTCGGAAACGAAACGACAGCCCACCTCTCTCTCCCCGCATTAATGCCCCACTCGCATTAAATGCCGTGATAATAGCCGTCGTTTCGAATGCGCTGCGCAACAATGCTGTCAAAACGGGGTCGGGTCAGCACACGATGCATTTAATGTGTCCGAAACGCTTCAGCGCGTGCAGAGCACCTGACAGCGCGAGGACCAGGTTCATTGAATTTCTAGGCACAGAAAGGAGTGTCCATCAAATCCAGGTCGTTAGAATGAAGATAGTCAGGTCGCTTAGGGAGGAATTGCGCGAGATCATGTTCGCCAAGAGACATGTGCCGAGCTCATCCCATTCAGGTCGGAGCGACCAAAAACCTCCATAAGACTTAGTTTCCAAGGTTCGTTCCTCAAACCTAAAACTAGGGGGTACTGTTATGGCCTGGGAAACTAAAGGCTGACAAGGGAGAGTCAGTGAAGGGTGACCAGCTCCCGTCAGAGCAACACGCACACGTCAGGCCTGCCAAATGATATGGAGCTACACGCGTCCATTTCCCTGCAATAAATCGTGCGAAGACAGCTTGGGAAGAGAGCAATGGGACATTAAGCCGGATTATATCCTGACAATCGCACCAAACCATGGATTTAATGATGATTACACGCTTCAGTTTGATATAAAATGAAGAAGACCCCTTCATTAAGGGGATTCGGCCATTTTCGTATAGGGAAAAACTCTCTCTCTCTCTCCTGTAAACACATTTTTACTTTTTCAACTCTTTTGTAAGTCAGTCCGCAGTTGCGACCTGACCCACACTAATATCAATACAAATCAGTGGACGTAGGACTTGCTACCTTAGCATCCGAACCACTTAAAAAACTCCCTGGGCATTTATTTCGCTTTATATATTCAATTTTCATGTGTATTTAACAACCAATCAACGTTACGCACGTGACAATTCGTTGGTGCAAAAAACGAGCATCAACAGAATTTAATTTCTGTAGACAAAACTGGGCGCATGTTACTCACCCCGCTTCTTCCCCTGATCGTTTTAACGACGTTTCTTGTAGAAGCTTGTTCAAAGCTGATTAAAATATATACTGGAACCGACTGGTACTCAAGGTTTGGTTTCGGTTCCTACTCGGAACTGACTATCAATTGGTAGATTCCAGTTCTAAATTTTTGGAACTATTACTGTGAGATTCCGATTTCAGTTCCTATAGTTAGGAATCAGAATCGGAACCGGGAACCGAGACTAATATAAAATAAAATTAAAGAGTAGAGAGTTTAATAAAAACTTTTGTAGAAAAAGTAATGTGAATACATTTATAGTTATATTTCATAATATTTAAAGTAAGTTGGTTTGACTTTTGAGAATCTATTTTTACAAAGTAATTGAGTTTGTAATTTTGAATTTATAATTTGTAATTTTATTTTTGTTAACAAGTGCCAGGTGGGGGGGTATTTGTAAGTTTTTAAGGGTTTTTTTACCATTTTTAAAAAATTTGGAGGTAATAAATTTTACAGGGTGCCCAGAACTAGAACTGGAACCATTATTACAGGTTTCGGTTCTAAGTACCTAGAAAACGAGTTCCGATTTCAGTTCTAAATTTTAAGGAACTGTCAGTTTCGATTCTTTTAAAAAATACAGGATATCAGAAACCAAACACCTCTACCATATACGTTTTTGGAATATATAGATGGAGCTGCCAATCTTTGATTGAATACTGTACAGAGATGGAATATTGAACATTAAATCAACACAGTGATGACATTTGACAAACATTAATCAGTAGTAGAAGAAGAATCAGTTTATGGATTGGACAGACAGACTTGAACAGCATTTTTGCGATATAAAATTTTCGATTATATTGATCGATTCTTGGAAACTGAACCATTGTCTAAAGGGATGGACCCTGAATGAAAGAATATGCCAATTGCCATTACCATATTTGGCAAGAACAAGTACAAAACTGAGCAGCAAGACTTTGATCATATTATATTTAAGATATTAAATAATTGAGCCAGTCCCATATTATTTGAGAACCTTCCAGGCAATTGGTATGGTGGTATATTCGAGTTGAGTTCCATCTCTTCCCTGGTGGACGAGTGATGTGTCCAAATATCGCCCTTTAGCTTTAACTATTCGCATAGTGGAGTTCTAGTACACAATTTGGTATATTTTAACTATTCATTTTGCGGTGGTATTGCGATGGTTATGGATTAACAGTACTCAAAACATTATAAAACGAAGTGGGTTTACATCAAAATTTAGAAAAAAGGCATCAGATCAGAAAGAAAGCACTAAACTTTGACGTTTGATTAGGGCAAAGGGTAGACAGATGCATATGAACCACCAGCTGTAATACATATTTCATATCAGTAGGTTCAACTGGTACAATATTTGATTCATAAATGAAATGAGATTCAGATGGATGGATGGATGGATCCCCTCCCTCCCTCTTCTATCAAACATGAGGTGCCAAATTCATTTATAAGTTCTACTTCTTCTCAAGAATGTACTTAAGAAACGTTTGGTTGGGGATTATGTGAGATTACTGGGTTAAGTCATCTTATATTACTTTATAACCATGTTTGATTGTCAAGTAATATAAGATACCGGTAATCTTCAAATATCAATAATAGTTACTATTGGTAATATTTAAGGTAATCAGATTACCTTCTATTTTGTTAGATATTCTAAAATTATCAAGGTTATTTTTTTTTTGTTACAATCCTATCCCTTATTAATAAAATTTTAGGACAAGAATACCCTTATTTTTAAATTTATTTACATGAATATGGCTTTTACTATTTCACCCCAATTAATTAACTTTTTGGACAAAATTACCCTTAAATTCAAAATAAATTGTAGCCCACCCAAGCCACCACCCCCACCCACCTGCCGCCGCTTGTTGTCGGCAACCATCGCTGCTACCGCCAAAACAACTCAGGAAGGTCGAAAATGGTCGCCGTGCGCCAATATGGCCATTTCCAGTCAGATCCATCGATCTGGCCGTCAATGGCCAGATCTGTCATACGGTGTACGGAGGCCATTTCTCACCTTTCGTGCTCCGTTAGCTTGTCGGCTATGGCCAACGACCTGCGGTGGTTGTCGGCAGTCGGTAGTGGCTAGGTTGGTGGGGGTGTTTTATTGATTTTCTAAACTTTTATTATAGGGTTGTTTTTACTAAGTTTTTAAATGTAGGGGTTATAATAACCTAAATAATAATCAATATTAAAAAATAATATAATAATAATATTTAATTAGAAGATAATTCAATAATTTAAATAACATATTTATTAATTTATTTCTTCCAATCAAATATATTAATAGAACATATCTACCAATTAATTCATAATAATATTCAATGTAATTTAACTTATAAGAAATACAACATTCTTGGAACCAAACGCGCATTTAAGAATTTTGATGATGAATAACCTTCCTCTCTAGTCTCCTACCTCCTTTCAAATCATAATTCCAAAGTAGGACAGACAACAATTCATAGTACCACGTGTCCTCCAACAAGTTCTTTTGTGTACTTGTAAAACACTTACTCTTTCATTCATCAAATGCAACTTGCTTAATTTTATTGTTACAATAATATTATATAGTATGGACCACTAGGCACATGGAGATGACTATTATCCACCATCTTCTTGAATTCCCATTATCTCACTTCTACCCCATTCATATATATATTTTGAAATTATTTAGCATATAGTTTTAATTAATTTAAAAAAAAAATGCATAATGTTAGACAGGGAGAAAAGAGGATATGAAATGTAACATTTGTGGGTAATAGCCAGCTATAAAAAGCTTATCTAGAAAAATTAAAGAAAAGGGTAGTTGTAGTTATAGGCCAATCCTTAAAAAAAAGAAAAAAAAAAAAAAAAGAGAGAGAGCATATAATATACTATAATAATGTTATTGCAACATTTAGTATGTAGAATCAAAGTGTCAGAAAAACAAAGAATGAAAATGACATGTAAAATTAAAGTAAAATAAAATAAAATAAAAAAGTGAAATTCAGAAATAGGGAATTGTCATGAGATGAGAAGTTGAGAGAAAATGAAATTGTAAGGTATGGTAGGGTGGGTGGGGGCAGTGATTTTGATATAAAAAGGGACCAATGACACCAATATTCATTCCCTTACTTTCGGGTTTTCAAGAGATTATTGCTATGCTGAGCTGACCTCTCAAACTTTTAACACTTCATAATTCTCCTTAAAACACAAATTCCATTTCTCTTCAATCTTTCCTCTTATGGAAAATCTCCACCAACAACGCCTGCCTTCCATGAAATCAAGATTCAAACGTGTTTGTGTTTTCTGTGGTAGCAGCCCTGGCAAGAGTCCTATCTACCAGTTTGCTGCTATTCAGCTCGGCAAACAACTGGTACTCAATTATTTCACTTCCAATATTTTGGTTTTTATGTTTTTATTTACCCAAGTGTAGCATTCTTCTGATTCTTGTATTAATACATCTTGTCCGGAACTATCAGTCTTCTGTTCTGTTACTTATTCAGAATTCAACCTCTCAAAGATTTGAGATAACCCATAAGTTTTTTTATTCCGGAATTTAGTAGTACTAGTTGATTGAGTATATGTTCTGTTTTGGTTGGATTGGATAGGGAAAAAACCATTGAGAAAAATAGAAGATGTTAATTCATGGTTTTGTTAATTAAAGAGTAATGATTAGTCTTTATATACTTTCAGGTTGAAAGGAACATTGACTTGGTTTACGGAGGAGGAAGCATTGGGTTGATGGGGCTTGTCTCTCAAGCTGTATATGATGGTGGTCGCCACGTGTTGGGGTATGTAACTTGCTAACTTAAATTATTTTCATCTCATCTGCTCTGTCTCTCTCTGTCACAATAACCTTTTTAGTTTAATTCTTTTGTTTTTCTTTTCATCTTGCAGAGTAATTCCCAAAACTCTTATGCCAAGAGAGGTAATTAACTGTTTATCATCAAAAGATGTAGAGTTCAATTATATAAAATGAATCTAAAATCCAATTGTTAAATTCAGATAACTGGAGAGACTGTCGGAGAAGTAAGAGCTGTATCAGGCATGCACCAACGCAAAGCTGAAATGGCACGTCAGGCTGATGCCTTCATTGCCTTGCCAGGTCCTTATTTTTCTATAATTAAACTAATCAATCACCCATTCCAGTATTAATGGGTGCTTCCCAATATGCATACCTGTAACTCTAACGTCATAAACCCAACTAAAAATTCACTTTTGCAGGTGGCTATGGAACTCTGGAAGAACTCTTGGAAGTTATCACTTGGGCTCAGCTGGGAATCCATGACAAACCTGTAACTATTCTATCTTCAACATTTTGCCTACAAAAAAGTGTAGAAATAATGACACTATATCTGGTAACAGGTGGGGTTACTGAACGTTGATGGATATTACAATTCACTCTTATCATTCATAGACAAAGCCGTTGATGAAGGTTTCATAGCACCAGCGGCCAGACATATTATTGTTTCTGCACCAACAGCTCAAGAGCTCATGTGCAAGCTAGAGGTACCTTTATTTATTTATTTTTTTTTTTTAGCAGACTTTTAGACACGTGCAACACAATATCAAATGATATATCATAGCCGTTCATCTTAATTAATCTTGTGAAGTTTTGAGCAGGAATATGTCCCCAAGCACTCTGGGGTGGCATCCAAATTAAGCTGGGAGATGGAGCAACAACTGGGTTACACAACAAAGTCAGATATCGCTCGTTGACTTGAACATCAAAATTGTATAAACAAATCATGGAAGATTAACGACTTTAGATTTTAGCAAATATTTATACAACTACTCACAATCTTGTAGATGCGATGCGAGCTCCACAGACAAAAGTCTTAAGTACCACCACAGTGTTTTTAATTGTAGCTGTGGATCACGCTGTGAATTCTTTTTTCTTTCTTTTTTAATTATAAATATATATATATATATATATTTTGTTTACTTTGTCAATTAGAATCTTGCTTGAGTGTAAACAAAGGCCAGCAGCAGTGAATTGTATCAATAGTATTCCCATGTCGGTAATTACTAATTTCAGAATTATTATAATTTTGTGTGGTTCTTTTTACTTCCGAATTGATGGGTTTGTTATAAATTGCTGTCATATCAAAGAGATTGATTGGGACAGAAAGAGAAATATTAAAATGGAATCTCTCAAGAACTTGCAAATCATAGAATACATGTATAAAAATAGAACTGCTCTTCAAATGTTTGGCTTACCATTTAAGGCACATGCAAATGTTAATAGCTTCAACCGTTTAAACCAAACCTACAACCAAAGTCATTACAGTGATAGTTGATGATGTTAACAAAGAAGCGCACACTTGTCAAGAATCCAAATGGGTTGGGACCGGAACCAAAACCAAAACCAGAACAACCAGAACCAGGTTTTAAATTATTTTGGGTTTTTGATTTTATTTAATGGAGTTATTATATTACTGAAAGGGTGAAAGACAGATGTCATTAAGTGGGAAAAAGGACAATGGGCGAGTGCCTCGTGGAGAAGAGAGAAGAGAAAAGCAAATGGTGGAGAGGTGGTGGTCCATCTTCTTTAGTTGATTGTGATAGATAAGGGCCTAGGTTCATTGTGCTAATAGCCTAATAGTGATTGAAGTGGTGGTTTGAATGGCTTTTTGGCTTCGAACTTGGGGCTGGTGACTGGCAATTGGGAACTGTAAAGGGACAGACCTTTATTCAATTCCCGTAGTTATCGAAATTCTTCCACCTTTAATCGTCATCTTCGTTTCAGTTTCGGATAAGCACGAACTTGATATGGTCTGCGTGGAGAAAGTGCATAGTTTACTGTGAGTCATTCACTGATTTATCCATGCGTAAAATTGAGTGGATGGAAGTTTCAAACACAAGGGGACAAATTACGTCCCTCTTCTTTACAAGTGAAAATTTTACTTTGGTCAACAGAAACCAAAAGCCTCTCTTTTTCGAGGTCCCTGTCGCTGCTGATTCATAGACAGCAGGAATCAAAATCATAATTCCATTGCTGTTTACGATCAAGACAACGAGTTGATGCCATGGGCTTCAACAATGACTTCAAAATTTCAACAAACGAAAACTTTAGAATGATTCTTCTTCACCTCAAAGACAAACAGAGTTCCACCCTTCAACACTTCTTGGACTGGAGATTAAACTTTGTTTTAAGGAACGTTTAAAACTACAAAAAGGAAATTATTTGGCAGTGATCTGTTCTATCTAGAATGAAATATCATAAGGGTGTTGCTCATCCTTTTATAGCTCAGAACTAAACATTACATTTTATAGCTCAGAAGAGTGCTGTGCTTCCAGAGGAACAGACTCGACATAATCATCGGCATGGGACGTGCAAAGATCCTTGTATATAAGCAAGAGAGGGTTCGAAGACTTGAAGCAAGTCGTAGTAGGCAACGTGAGAAAGAATCATATAGATTTCTTGAGGTTTAGTATGTTACTCCTGAACATAAAAGTAATTTCCAACTTCCTGATCCTAAATCGGAAAGGGAAAAAAGGGTTTCCTGGATCCATGATTGAAATTTTTAGTACAAGAATCAATACTGATAGGTAAGGCATTTTATATTTGTAATATTCTATTTGTTTATTACCATTACAATTCTTGGCCAATTGAAACTACATTAAGAAACAAACTACCAAAAAACAGCAAGAAATACATAATCATAAAAACAAATATGGCACAATTAGTAAATTATTTGGAAAATTTTCAATTGAAATTACAATCACAAGATTATGAGCTCTGACTTCACCATCGAGCTCCCAATTATTGTACCTCAAATCGATTAATATACAATTAGATAATCGCCACCTATAAGCTAAACCCTTGTTTAATTTCTAATGATTATTACATGCTTGGTGCATGTAAATACTAATATACCACAAATCTTTGATTTTCCACTGGTTACGATGGGAAGCTGTATTCATCAAAACTAGAATCAACTGGGAGCAAATCTACCAAACCACTTGATTCACGGCTTTACTTCTTTGGCTGTTCTAGCTCCGTGTGATTATTTGTTCTGCTATGAATCCGTGTCAGCCAACGCAAGCTTCTCACCATTTTACCTGATTAACAAATCCAAAAACTGAGTTCAATTCTTATTATCAACAAACAAGAAAATGATCATAATAATAGAGCAGCAGCTACAGAAATAACAATGACAATAATTTGAATTATCCCTTACCATGTCTTTCTAGAACGATTTCCTCATGTGTGTGTGTATATATATATATGTATTCTCAGGCATGCCCACTATAGTTTAGAATATTCACAAGCTCAATCCCGAGTAACTCTAATCTCTGACTTAATATAAAGTAAAATATGGTGATTCCACACACTATTTGCTAGTAAGAACATTACCTTCTAATGTTTAATATGTCCTCAACACACAACATCGATATTGAAATATAGTGAGCTCATGTTGTTGGCCTTGTCATCGTAGATAAGCCACGCCCTCCCACAGGAATAACTCCTTGAAAGCTTTCATCTGATTCTTCCTCTAAAGCAGCTGCACAATATAAAAATAAGTAAATGCGAAGAAAACTCTAAAAATTAACAGCAGTATTTTTTTTTTTTTTTTGTACACCCCGATCACATAAAGATCTACACCCTTTCTGTTCTTTTCATGTATTCATTAATCCAGCTAATTCTAGTTATCCTAAGGCAGTAGGCATGAGGAACAAGGGACAATATAATCTTTACCAGCATCTTCTTCACCAGCCTGAGCCCCCGCAATCCCAACACATGAATATAAAGAACCTTCATCCACTTTCAATTGTTCATATGCAAGATATATGTCCTCGATAGTAGCAGCTTCGTATAAGGAAGTAAGTTCCTTAATACATGATATGTCCTGAACACCACAACCACATAAAGTAATTGACCATAAGAGATTACATGAAAAGTTGAAGGAATAAGTCAGCATTATTTTTTATTTGAACAAACTTTGGACATAAACTATTATCCATTCTTTTGTCAAATGTTAAAGATATAAACTAAGCTCAGAGATTATCAAGTGACAAGATTTCCCGTGTACCTTCCTGGGAACAGAAGAAGCTTGCAAGTGAGCTAACAATCCAAGCCAATAGGCATTTGACTTGATTTCAGCTTCATGTCTCATTAGAAGGGTCCGCTTTGCCTGTGTAATGCACAGAGACACCATATCAGTAAACAACAAAACATTAGCTCAGGCAAAAGCATATAAGAAAAACTGAAAATCCCACAAATGAATTTTAGACACCAAGCTCTCCCGCAGAGAGAATAATTATCTGGAACTTTGAGATTTGATTCAAACAGTTTCAACAGATAATTTTTTCTTCATCAAACACCTGTACTATAATATGACTGCTTCCATTTACATGTTACATAAAACACTATATGGTAGATGTTTGACAACTGACCCTGTCCAGTTCCCTAGGGACAATCCTGTTAGTATGCAAACCTCTGAGGACATTCTTGCATGCCTCAACAGCTTTATGAACCTGGAAGTTAAATAGATCCAAATCTGGTTAGAGGTCAGAAATTACACGAGCTTCAAATAAAGATGTCTGGAAAACTAAACTCTCACCTTGCCTGGGGTTGATGTTACAGATACCACATACCATCCAAGATTAAGCCTATCAAACAGGTTCAATTCGAATGATACATCATAAGTTAATCCAAGAGAATCCCGGACTGTTGTAAAAAGCCTGTTGGAAGCACAAGGAAAAAATTCACGTTATTAACTAGCCACACAAATTGATTCTCAATTCTTGGATGCAAGAGTTGATAGAGGATTCAAAATTCTTATTTTTTTTACTCTTTTGCAAAGTCAATACAATACAAAATTCAACAAACTCCTATCAACTCATGCCTTCTATATATTAAATAACAGTACTATATAATACTAATTACACAGATTATCAAATAAGACTAAAACCATTATCCACAGCAATAGAAAAATACATTAGACATCCCTAAGGATCATGTGTTTGCTAAGATGTTAGTGCCCACATGCCTGGAATAGATATATCATACCCTTTCACTGTAGAAGCCCAAAACTAACTGAATAGATATATCATATACCCTTTCACTCCAGGAGCCCAAAACTAACTGAATAGAGATATCATACCCTTTCACTCCAGGAGCGCAAAACTAACATTTCGATTTCTAAGTTCACTAATTCTTGTTCGTGTCTATCAAAAACACAAACACAAAGACAGCAAAATAAAATCCTTGGACAACAATTTATCATCTGCAATACTTTGATTCTGTATGAGAAAGCTCCACAGCAGTTTATAGAATGTTCAAATGACTTTCCTCTTCTTAGGATCATAGTCCTAATGTGATTCTGTGCCAACTCTTTCCAAGAAATATGTTGATAAATTACCTAATGAAATTGGACTAGCTGGTGAACACTTAAATGAAAAAATGCAACAGGCCGCAAAGGAACACATTCATTCGTCAGTTCTACTGTATGTGTTGGCTATGAACATGCTACTAAGAGAATTACCTAGAATTTATGATCTCAGCAAGCAGTCCCATTGTAATACCAAAGAAAAGTGAATGTCTGCGAAGTTTTATTTGTTGATCCTTCTCGAGATTATTCCCCTCCAAAAGTGGTTCCTCATTTTTAGGTTGTAGATCTGCATAAGCATTGCAGCTAATGAATCCTGAATTGCTATTGGAGTATAAAGTGATTACATTCCAAAAACTAAATAAATCTCATAAGAAAATATTAGGAGATAGAGTTCCCAAATACAAAAAGTTATTCAAATTAATGTAAGCATGTGAAAACTAGCAATATGATTTAAGAATCATAAATTTGTTTATTGAACTTCCAAGCGACAAGCATTAGGTATCCAGCATAAACTCACCATGAGTAGTTGAAGTATCACCCATTGACTCAAACAGATCTTCTCCATCAACTGTTAAACCCCAACGATTTGGAGCAGGGCCTGCAAGGTAGGCACATGCTCTCTCATCTGTGTCCTTCAGGAATACCTGATTAAAAGGCAAAAAATGACTATTAATATGGTTTTTTAAAAAAAAAAAAAAAAAAAACAAATTTCTAAGATAAATACAAATTTGGCTATATTTTTAAACGGTATACTTCATAAGCATTCCACATTTTTGCATTTCTAGAAAATTAGAAACTAAACGTAAAAATATTATAAATATTTGATTCTCACTTGTTGATGTTGCAAATCGGATGGAGATGGTCCAAAGAAGAATGGACTAAACTCATGCTCTCTCTTAGAATCAGTTGGTGCTCTAACTGTGCCTAGATAGTCAAGAATACAAGACTCAATTTCCTCCTCCGCAAAGTCCCCGACAATACTTACCTAAGGAAAAAAAACCATTTAGATAATAAGAAATCTCATATCAGATGCGATGTTTATAAAACTTGACAATTTCCCACCTCCATGTTATTCCCCACAAACTGATTCATCACTGCATCTTTTACCGATTTCAAAGTTAAATTTTCTAATGATTTTGGTGTAGGTTCCACAAACCGCTCATCTCCATTTAACATTGCCAACATGAGTTTGTGAGCAGTTGAACGTTCCAAGCTTTTGGGAATGGACCGATAATATGAAAGATATAACTGTCTAGCTCTGTCAAAGGCATCATCCAGCCAGACACTATGCTGCAAGTCACCAACCACCGTTAAACAATTGATTGAACAGGAAGTGTTACCAAGTCATAGTAGTTACAAATGCCACAAGGAAGACACAATATGTACAAAATGATGATTATGGTTGACATAGAAATACCTCAAGCACCATATGGAGTAACTGGAAAGCTGCACGCATTCCGTTATCTCTTAGAGTAAAACGGAATTCCATAGCAATAAATTCTTCTGTGGACTCCAAAGAGCAATTTATCAAGTGATTTACACAAAAAAGTTCAACCTGGAGAAGCAATTAAAAATATATGAGAGACAACTGCATAACAGCAGATTGTGAAACTTCAGTGCTGAGAAGTGTTCTTACCATTATGTATACAAATATAGTAATTTGCTAAACAATCACAGCTAAAAGGACTAAAAGATTCATTTTTGAGTAGTAATAACTAGTATTCCAAATTATTACATGTAACTAACTTTGGCATCACCCAATGCGGGAAAACTCACTGCGGCAAAGTAACTCTCCATGCTTTGAGGTCACAAGCCCATCCTAAAGGTAATTGAATGGAACAAGAAGGGGAAGAGGAGAATGATTTTATTCATAGAAATGCATTTTTTAATTCACTACATTATACATTTCTGGTTTTCACGCACAAGCTTTTATATTTTTTTTCTAAAGTACAAGCAAAACCTTGGTTCCATCATTACACATTTGTAGATAACTCAAGAAATAAATTTCTAGACCTTAATAACACATGAAGACATACCTTGCATACATAAAATGGTAAACAATACAGAACCATGTATATGTGTGTGCATACTATTCATAGGAGTGTAACTGTGAAATTACAAAAGGTATAAAAGTACATAGAATATAACTTAATTTACCTGTTCCCTTGAAAAGTTGCCCACACGACCACCCTCACTGAGAGTTCGAACACCCACCACAACAGCTCCTCTCGACTCAGGACTTTCAGCTGCTCGCCCACCGCCAACAATAAGCCGCATAACACCTCCTTGGGCTTCATGTTTCAAAATCTGAACAGCAACAAGGGTATAAAGGGTGAAGTATAATCACATATGCAAACACATACCCCTATCAATGTGAATACATGAGAAAATGAGCTAGAGATCATAGCTGTTTTTCTCATTTCAAGGCAATGAATAATAGCAACTAAAAGATATAGGCTTCATAATAATAAGAATTGAAATTTACACTACGAGAAGAGGTAGGGAATGATAACAGGAGTCCGAAGGAGAAAAAAAAAAAATTGCAAAGATTACTCCACAAGATATCTACTTTACCAAACATTTCCATGTTCTGAAAGATCTTGAATTAAATACAAATACACATAAAAAAAACATATAAAATACCCAAATCTAATTAAGAAAACAAAGAGAATTAAATACAAACAGAAGTTATACCTTATAATTAATAGGAATTCCATTTGAAAGACGGCGTTGAGTGATCCCAGTTTCTTTGTCATGCACTTTAGTGACATTTAATTCAGGACTCGGAGGAACGAAGGATGGCGTGCACTGCAACTTTAACTCCTCTAACTCTGATAGAGATATTAACTCCTTTGGAACTTCAAGCTGGCCAAATAAGATAATAACAATGAAGTTCAGAACTTGATTTTCACACAGATACACCATTCAAATGAAGTTAAGAACTCATATCAAGAAAAAATCGAAAGGAAGGGCACCTCTGGCTCAGCTTCAATTGGCTCTTCTAGTCCCGATTTTATGGCATCTGTTATCTCACTTGAGGATATCTTGAATTCAGTTTCTCCAATTCCATCAACATGCACCTTCTTTGGAACACATGCAACGATTGCTGCAGGAACAGGTGCAGAAGGTCTTCCAAAATCTGAGATAAATTCTAAGACCTTGGCACCAATGGAATTAACCTATAGCAGCAGATAATCGAGGATCAAAACCACTGTGTAAGAGAAAAATATTGATTTTTTAGAAAAGAAAAAACTTGGAGCAAATCAGTAAGAAACATGCAAATCCTATTACTACATTCTAAGAATTACAATAAAGATACTTGAGCCTTGCTTATGAGCACAAATCTGTTGGTAAAAAGTTGATAACTGAAATGGAAATTATATGTTGACCTAAACTAATAGACAAAGAAATAAGCATGAGGCACAACTACTCATTGGTGGGTCAATGTAGTTAGTAGACAATACTTCTTCAAGAGTAATTGTTCCAGCAATAGCAAGCAAGCTTTCATGTCCTTGTCTCTGATCCATAACCGTATGGCCAAGGGCATCACTCTCCATAATGAAATCCAGATTGTCAACAGATGACACGTTATCAATCATAGCTGCCAGGTGTTCACTATCTTTCAATAGAGCATCCAAGTAGCGAGTCAATTCACCATTGGTGACACCAAATTCTTTAAGCCTTCTGACCTGCACCAACAAAATATATATCATTGCCATCAACACATGCAGGTAAAGAAGATCAAGTAGACTTCAACTGAAACTGTGAAAGAAGCACCTGGTACCTACTGAAGCCTAGCATAGTAGTAACTGATTCATTTATTTTACCAGATAAATCCTAGCCTAACATTTCATGAATAGAAAATGAAAAGAATAAAAAAAAAAAAGAAGATGAATAAATAAAATTGATTACTTCCTCTACTTGACTGGTTCAATTAGGGTGTCGCCAAAATAACCCAGGAGAATCATAGAACATCATGATTAGAATCAATAAAAGAACAAAAGTTTCATTGCAGTTGTCAGTGATGACAGCGTTAGAATAGCAGAAAGTACAAACCTCTTGAACTGCAACTTTAATTGCATTTTGCCAATTCTTAGGTTCTGCAGTTACTGTAAGGGTTGTGACTGTGCATCCTTCCCTTCCAGAATCACTATGATCCATTTCAACAGATGTAAACGGCGGATTTGAACTCTGAAAATTTCTATGAATTAGCTAACCATTGAAGGGCTACATACATGATACATGGCAATACATACAGAATGCAAACACATGGACTTAATGAATAATTCAACCACCAGTCCACCACTATCCTCCCATAAGAGAAAAGTCCCAAAAGTTTGGCTTAATTATTAATTTCTGACTGTTATATTTCTCTAAGGTAGAACCCACAAAAAAAAAATAATAATAATAATAAAATAAAAAAATTTCAAAGTGAATACTGAAAATTATGTGCATATAAAGCAGCATACCTTGTATCTTGTGTTAATCCGAAAATGCAAAGCAGACAAAAAGATTCTTTTCATCAAAACATTTCGCAGATCACCATATGTTTGAACCTTATTCACTGGAATCTGCAGCAAAATTCACAACACAATTTTAGGGGAAGAAAAAGAAATGAAAAAAAAATCAACTGATTGAAGGTCACCAGAAACAGATGAGAACGAAACCATTTTAAAAAAAGGAACAGGAAACACAAGAAATTATATAACGAACACCAAAACAAGCAATGTTCATAAAATGCACCACATGTAAGTGCAGGATGCAAATGATTAAAATAGCAACACAAGTCTTCAAAGCTCAGACCTTGCAGAACATATTAATTGAGAAATTTTGAAGCAACTCATGCTGAAATATCTGTGGGGGATTCATATTTGAACCACTTCCAGGGAGAGACCAATTATGCTTCACGGGAGGACGAACTGCATGTCTTTCCTTTTTAATGATTTTAGATTGATCAGCTGAACTAGATGGTCGTTCATTGGATAAGCTTCCAGCCAGCCCAACTGGGAGCTTAGGAACTAGAAAACTAGCCATTGCACCAAATGCACTAGGACTAGGAGGTGGTGCAGATGCTGCCTCATTTTCAAGGCCAGTTTTCCCAAAGACAGCCTGTGAGGAAGCAAAAAATCATGGTCAATATACCAACTCCAGAAGTAAATTCAAAATTTAACAATGTGGATTCACGCATATTGCATAACTACAAGAATCTGTGACATACCTCAATCTAATGAACCGTCTTCGAAATATTATCAATGTCACCCACGATATATAAGGTTGCATTAGCAGGGAAGTACCAACGCTCATGGAATTTCCTTATTTTATCAGCATCCCATTTCTTAATCTGCTCTTCTAATCCAATTGGGAACCTTCTGCTTAGCTTGTTTTCAGAATGCAGATGTTGTAACAACTACATAGAAAAGAATTTCCCATGAAAATATAGATATTGACGGGTCAGATGAAGACATGGAGGAAAACCAACTATATATTTTTCATACCTGGCAATCAACACGATACTCTATCGTATTCATCATCTGTAGTTCTGAAAGTATGGCACGACGTTCTTTTTCAATTCGGGAAGAAAGGAATTTTGGATGGAAAGCTATCTGTATAAATAAGATGGACAGAAAATATAAGACACGTCAAATGAATCATTTTTAGTTTATTTATTTATTGTATAGATCACATCAGAAAGAAACTGATGCCAGTGGTTCTGTCTTAAACAATAACAAGGGCAAGCAGAAAGAAAGCAAGCAAGTCCAGCTGATATGCAAGTAAATTCATTCATAAAATCATATGGCAAACTCAACTGTTCATACCTCGTTCAAGGCATCCAGTACAAGAGGAAGTAGATCTTCTTCAGAGTCCTGGAAAGTGGAAAACGCAATCAAATTCAAGTTAATATAAGCATAGATCATTGATATGGCTATAGAACTGCTAAAAGAAAATCAGATTAACAAATACAGGAATAGAAGGAACATCCCAAAGAGATAATAGAAACCTTTGTACAAGTCGGTGAATGGATGTGAAACACTGTATGGTGAAAATCAGTGTAAGCATTAGAACGGGCCCCTGTCCCAAGAAGTTTCTCACGTTTCTTACTTCCCAGAAATGCAACATGTTCAATCATATGTGCAATTCCCTGCTCATCATCTTCCTCGTCAATTGATCCAGCATGAATTTCCATGTGTGCTTCAAACCTAAAATCATCCAGGTGAGTGGGAAAGAGTCAGAGAAAGTCTAATTAACTTAAAGAATAAACATTTGGGATTCCTTCACTTCACCTTAGCAAAAATTAAATGGAAAACTCTTTTCCTGAAATAAAATGTTAGAATACAGGTTTAAAAATTATTAGATACAACTTCTTTTAGCACTATTTTTCAACGATTTTTCATCAATGACATATTAACTTTTTACATTACTTCAAATAAATTAACCTCAATTTAGTTTATGGATACAATAATGTCTCTCCAACGTGCAGCATTATTATGTTCAAGGCAAATACTAAAAATGGAGCATTCACCTAGAAAATGCATTGGCAAACACACTACTTAACAAGTTTAATAATTCGTATTTGAAGAAAACAAACTCCTCAAAGGGTGGAACCAACCATAAATCTTATAATACTAATGGCTAAATTTGTTAACTGAACAGATGAGCAACAAACAAAGACTTAAGGAAAAATCTTCTTCACAATCTAAAAGAAAATGAAAATCTAGTATCTTTCAGTAGTTCTCAAATCCTGATAATGCTACTGATCTTTTTTAAGTAACAACAAATTATAACAACTACTAAAATATAAAGAATCTTGCAAGATTTCACATCCTTAAACACATAAATCATATTTTAGGTAAACTATACCTGCTTGCTGGAACTTTGTTTGGTAAAATAAGATAACGGAGCCCATTTTTCAACTGCCCACGAAACAACTTCGGGTGAGATGGAAGTTCAGAGTTTAAAAATGCCTCGATTTCAGCCTTGTCTGGTTCACGAAACAATGAATCCAAATCCTGTCCATCAACAACACCATCTGGCCAGGTTGTACTGGCTGCATGTGGTTCATCTGGACCCACAGTTGCAAAGGGAACACGAACATGCTTCACCTGAAAATTATACATACCACAGTCAGTGAGAATTCTCTCCAGCATAAGGGGAATGAAATTGGGGATACACTGGCACATTAACATAGATATCCTATGCAGTTGCTAGATGTAATGCTCTCCAACTCACAAATGCAATAGAAGTCCAACATTCTCGCTCAATATCTTACATTATGCGAACCTTCTTACAATAAGGTAGATTAAAAAAAATCAATATCTAATTTAAAAAGGACACATAACTAAAATATTAAACAGAAGTTTGTGCTCAGACAACAATATAAGTGATCAACTAACAAACCTGAAATATACCAGAAAAATTGAGTGGCAGTAAAAAATAAAAAAAATGAAAAAGAGTGTTAAGTGAGCTACACATCAACAAGGCTATGCGGATAGAAAATTCAAATGATAAGCAACTGATTACAGAATTGAACATAAAATTACTTACATGAGCAGTGGGGCGTAAAGGAAAAGTAGATTTGTGAAGAAAAGCTCTTGGTATGGATTCGACAAATCTGCAACGAGTTCTACGGTGATTAAGAGAGCAGGTAGCGCAATTAAATTGTTCTCGTTTACCGAATGCGGAAGCATGACGGTTTCGGGTAACAGCCTTGTCTAAATATAATGTTGATTCACCACCTGCACCTGACCACCTTCATCGGCCAAATTTCAGAAACAAAAAGAATTACATAAAACCGATGACACATTAGTGAAATTGAATAAATTATATATTTATGCAGATAGTGAGTACCTGGCAGGAGAAAGAAGAGAAAGAGGCTTCACATGAAAACGGTTTCGAAGCGACAGATGAGTGCGCGGCCGTACAATCCGATACCCGCTGTCTCTATGATTCAACGACGGACGGATTTGAGGCACGCTAACCCCAGCCACTAGAGAGCCTGATGACGTTGCCATCTTTATCTCTATATCTATTCTCCGATATTTATTTATTTATTTTAATAATTAAACTATTAGCAGAGTCAGCCCACCGACCACCACGTTGTACCTGCTACAGATATTGAGGATGAGAGACGAGCGAGAGAGAGAAAGAAAAAGCGGGGAAGGGAAGGGTTCAGCTGCAAGATTTTTTACTTGCATCTTGGCTCGACTTGTACGGGTTTGGCTTCGTGTAAATACTCTTTCCATACAAATATTTTACTTCATTATTCAAGTCGGTCTACTCCTCAGCCGTCTGATTATAATATCTTGTTGTATCAATGATCTTTCTGTTATATTCTTTATGTACTTGTTCACAGAATATACTTTCCTTTAACGACCACGATAAAATTGGACCCTTCCATGCTTTGGCCCATTTCAAATTATGAAATATCAACTGAAGCACGTCTTCTTATTTGACATTTTTTCTTAATGACACATCATCATACACAAAAATATTTAAACTCATCATATTCATTCTTTCATTTATTTCCTATCATATTACATTATACAAAAATCTTTATAAGATTTCATTAGACGTTTTCCATTACTCATTTGTGTATGATAATGTGTGATAAAAAAAAGGAAATATGTCAAATAAGAAGATGGGCTTCAGTTGATATTTCATAATTTGTGATGGGCCAAAGCAAGGAAGGGTCCAAGCCAGCTCAATTTTATGTTGCTAGGCCCGTATATGCAAGTGACAATTCAAGTTCCATATATATTCTATTCATTTCTTTTTTTTTTTTTTTTTTTTTTTAACAAGGTGTCCGGATTAACGCTGCACACATCTCAACTAATTTCCGAAGCTTATTGAACACCCTACAAGCCTAAAAAACCCGCTGTCACATCACTTTGTAAATATATTTTTGTAAAGTTGTTTGTACGTCTAGTATTATTGTACACAAAATGATAAGCAATTCAGTTCCATTAGTAATGTCAAAATATGGATAAATCTATTAATTTTAAATTTATAAAAAAGGCTTCTAAAAATTGCAAAAATAAGTAAAAAAAGTCTTCTAAAAACATAAAGATTTGCCCAAAATTTAAAGTCTCCTAGTTAGGCGTTGGGAGTTGGGACGAATTAACAACTTTTTCCCACCCAAATGATGGTTTAATAATACTTTCTTACCCACAGACTTTTAAAATACTATTTTACCATCTAAAGTTATATTATGTTTCTCCTTTCAATATAGCTCAATTCCCAACAATTGATGGGGTCGACGGGATAGGGTTTGAAGGGTTTTGGTGAGTAATGATAGGGGAAGAGAATGGTGGTGGTGTTAGGGCATAACGATGTTGAAATCGGAAATAGAATATAACTTTAGATAGTAAAGTAGTATTTTAAAAGTTTGTAGATGAGAATGTGTCATTAAACCATTATTTGGGTAGGAAAAAGTCGTTTAGATTTGAGCTGTCTCAAGAACATTTGTGACCCTAGGTAAAAATTACTTTAGGGGCCTTCTAATAATATAAGCATATCTTAAAAAGTTATTTCAAATTTATTTTTCTTGCCTTTTGAGATACAAAATCACTAACTAAATTTTTATATTCAAGTTTTGAAACTAAATCTTTTTCAATTAATAATATAGCCAAATTGTCTAATCTTTCTTGTGACATAGTTGAATGCAAATAAAATTTTATTAACTTTAATTTTGAAAAATTTATTTCTGTTGAATCTATAGTAACAGAAATAATTAATAGTATTCTATAAGCTATCCATGCATTTGGAAAAGAATTCACTTTTTTTTTTTTATAAAATCTAGTATCTCAAGTGGTGTTTTAATTTCCACATTTATAATTTTATTTTAAAACTTTTAATTCTGAATATAAATTTAAACCATCAATATCAGAGAGCATGTCATGTTTTAAAAAGTTTTCAAGATTTAAACAATGTTTTTGCAAACTATCATCATCAAACAATTTTAACTTTTTTATATTATAAAGGAAACCAAAATTATTACTATATCTTTCAAATTGTTCAAACCTACTTTGAAGTGAAGAAATGGCATGATCAATTAAATATATGAAATAATTTATTATAAATATTCTTTAGCAGACAATTTCATCTCTTCGTTTTCATTCTCATCAAATTGTTTTTTTCTTTTTATTGTACGTTTTTCATGAAATTTTGGTTCTATAGTCATTTGCTCTGCAATCTCTTTAGCATAAATCATAGAAGATGTAAACTCATTTTCTCTATATTTTCAAAAAATGAAACAAGACCTTCAACTGATATGTTACAACAACAACGTCCATATTTTTATATTATAAATATTTACTAACCATAATAACAATAAATAACATTTCATACTAAATATTCATGCCTAATAGAAATTCAAAATTTTCAATCTCATATGTTACCAAAGAAATAACTTCACTTTTTATTTTAGGATCTTCATTAGTTTCTGCTAATTGATATAAAACATCTATTATTTGTGGAGCTTGAAATTTTATTGCTTTAATACTTTCAACACGACTTTCCCAACGTGGTTGTGATAATGGCTTAAGTGTCAAATTAGAAACGTGATTTTACAAAATTTTCCATCAATTTGTAGAAAAAGAAAATAATGAGTATATGCGTTATGTTACTCCGAAAAAAGTAATAGCATTAGTGTTAGTGTATGTCCTAGGAACCAATCGTATTGTCGATTTCAGGACATTATATCTTGTAAATGTATTATGAATAAAAGAAAGTATTCTTATTTCACATGTTGATTTACTGCTTCATTTATATTATATTTAATATTGTATATGAAATGTCTAGATGACACGGATCTTCAGAAGATCAAATCATTGAAGAATTGCCTACGCAAATAATGCTAATTGGGCAATAACATTGTGTAGTAGGCATGTTGAATGTCTCAATTGAATATCATGTGATGGTATTAGTGTAGGTGATTATAAGAGGTATATCACTAAGACATTAGCATGGATAAACAGCTAGTGAACTGTTTATAAAAAACAACCGATTATGATGAATCACATGGACGTGGTCAATGATGCATCATAGGATCATGCTAGTGTACCACTAATCCTTAGACTTGAGACATCACGGTTGGAAACAATATATGATGCATATGGTTCATATGGTGTATAAGTACGAGACTAGTCATGTCATGTGTAATAAGCCAATTTGGTCATATGTTATTCATGTGCGAGGACAAGTGATGTCAAGATGGGATTCGTTAACTCAAAATAGTTCAATCTCGAGTTCCCCGATGAATGTCAATAAATATTGGAAAAAGGAAATCTCTGGCTAGAGTATAATAAATGTAAGATGAAACATAGTTTCATGTTGACGAGTTCCATTATATCGATTGACAATTTGATTAAAGATTAAGTTAAGGGCTTTGACATACCATAAATCATTCTTAATCGGAATTAGATAACGAAAAGATTTGACTACATAGTACGTACGATCATAATAGGTTCATTGAAGTTTACACTTCATTGTGGTTTAAGAGTTATGAAACATTGCTAGACGTCTACCATAATCAGTGGGAGTTTCGATTATAAATAGTTATAACGAAACATATCAGAATCTGATATTGGGCCCACGGCTAGATCACAGTGAACTAAAATTGTCACACATAAAACCAAGCTCAAGAAGAGAGCGTAATACATATTATTGATCGGATTAATGATATTCGGACGTAAACAGTTGCATCCGGAATAGTGTATTTGTGAGAAATGATTATCCATGGATAGCTAGCACCAACAAAGGGTAATAAGGATTTATTAAATATTATTATTGAATTCGATTCGATGATGAGGACAAAAGTACATTGGTTTTATTCTAAAGAGTTAAAATAATTAATAGGATTAAAATTGGGCTAATTACGAATTAACCATAAAACCAAGGACTTGACATAAATGCTCTTTCACAAGATTAATTTTAAGTTGTTTGAGAACTTCCCAAGACAATTTAAAATTATACTTTGTGCCCATGGTATATAAACAAAGTGTTATACCATTTTCATTTAATTAAATCAGTTGAAACAAAAATCACTCTCTCATTTTCTCTCTCACTCTCTCGGCTCTCTCTTCCTTGACTTGTGTGGATCACATTTTGAGGTTCTTCAACTAAGATTCCAAGAAAGCAGATTCAAATGTTGAATAGCAAAGGAGTTGATAATTTTCTATCATTTTCTTACATTAATAAGTTAATGTTTTAATGGTTTGTTTTCTACCTTATGTTCATTATCTCGATCATCATTTTCTCTCAATTTTCATATCCAAAATGCATGAAACACAACCATTAGTACATGAATTAGCCATATCACAAAGAACTAAATTAAGATTGTGACAACCACATGGTGTATAAAATGCTTTAAAATTTACATTTAATAATCTTTTTTGCACACCTTGATGTTTACCTTTCATATTAGACCCATTATCATATCCTTGTCCTCTCACATTATTTACATCAAGTTTAAGATTTTTTAATATACTTGTGAGAACATTAAAAATGCCTTGATCAGAAGTATCATACACTTTTATAAAATCTATAAAGTACTCTTCTATTTTTATTGGACTTATTGAAATATCTACACATCTTAATATACGTGACATTTGTTCTCGATGACTTGTATATAGGGTACAATCAAGTATAACTGAAAAATATTTTGATTCTTTAATTTTTTATTTTTTTTTAATAATGGTATTTCTTATTTCTAATGCTAAAATGTTTATCAACTCATTTTGTATATTATGACCAAGATAATGAGTATGAATTTCTCCATTTTGAATATGTCTAAGGTGTTCTTGCATTATTGGATCAAAGTCAGCAATCATTTCAATTAAACTCAAAAAATTTCTATTATTTTCTTGATAAATCTTCTCATTTGTACCACGAAATGCCAAATTATTTTTCGAAAGATTTTTTACAACCGCTATAATTCTTAATAGTACATTCTTCCAATGCTCTTTCTCTTTATTTATTTTCTCTTGTAAATATTTATCAATTGTTTTGTTTTTAAATAATCTCATCTCAACATCAACTCAAATGTTCATATTTATAGCATGTTCATTGCTTGTTTCGTGACTTTTAAGCTTGACACTAAGATTTTTCCAATCTCCACACCCTTCATTTGCTAATTGAATTGTATTTGCTTTTAAACTAAATAATTTACAACAAAAACAAAATACTTTATTTAATTCTTTTGAATATACTAGCCATTTTTTATTATGTTTTTCTCTATTAGGTAATTTTCGAATATAATGAATTGTAGAAAAGCGTCTAGAATTTTTATCTCTTGGAAAATCTAAAACTTGTCTAGTTGAACATTTCTCAACTAATAAATCATATAAGCTTGTGTCTAAATTATTTCAATGTACCGGATCATAAATATTTTTAATAGTTGTTTCATCTTTCTCATTAATATTTTCATTCTTGCCGAATGAAATTTCTTCTTCTAAATTTTCATGATACTCTTCACTAGTATTTGATGAATTTGAATTGTTGTCTTTAAAAATTTATTCACCATTTTCAATCAATTTTTCATTTAAATCTTTATTTGGTTTATCTAGCATTTGGTGTTTCGTAGTAATAACAAATTTATCAAGTACACCTTTTTGGGATTGAATTAGTTTTTCTATCTTTTTTTTTCTTATGTTTTTCAAATTCAAATTTATACTTCCTAGTAGACATTTCTATTCAAAGAATAAATAATTTAGAACCCTTAATATTATTTTGCTAAAATAAAAGTCATTATAAAAATTAAGAAGGAACTTTAGCACCTGATTTATACTCATGATTTTGCTTTTTGCTGTGCTAATACTCTAAAATCTTATATTATTATCCTGTATAAAAATAATAATGAAAATTATTTATTCACTTGATCAAATATAAAGTAAAATAAGCTGAAAATGTCAAGAGTAAAATGATTTAGAGCCCTTAATATTATCTTGCATAAAGATAATAATGTAAATCACGTTCACTTGAGAAATTTACTTCAATAGAGTAATAGAGATGAGAAAGGAGAGATAAGAGATGAGAAAGCCAAGACTTAAGAGTAAACTGAGTTGAGAATGCTCTGAGTAAAAGATGAGAAGTTTTATATAATAGATTGTCATTCATATTTGGGAGAGTGGAGATTGTGATTGCAGCAGGTAAGGGAAGGTGTTTCAACTTTCAACGGAAAAAATGAGCTGTCAATTGTGTTTCAAGTTTGGATGTAAGGATAGACGATAGGACATACGGTGAGATTGATGGGAATTGGGAGATTATAAATATATTAAAAAATACTTAAAAAAATAATTTTGGGTAGAGATAGGTATATGCGATACTGCATATGGTGTGGGATTAATGAGAATTGGAAAATTATAAATATATTAAAAAAATACTTTAAAAAATAATTTTGGGCCCCCCCTTTTTACCTCTTTTTTCAGGGAGTCTCACCTGCCTAGGGCTTAAACCGGGCCTGGTTTAGATAAGCGGGATTGATTTTATAAATAAACTCTCATGTTAAGTCACGAAGACTGTAGAATGGATAGAGCGAATGGCATGACGACTGACGAGGACCAACAGAGGCCTTTTTAATGGACTTGACCACATAAATTACTCATTTGATATTTTTTCTAACCTATGCGATGACAAAATGACAAAAAAGCTGCCTAAAGGAGAGACCACGCAAGTTGGATTAAGAAACTTTGTCTAACGCGCAATTCTACCGCCTCTGGAACCGCCATAAACAACTGGCGGAAGCGACACGCACAAGTTATTATAAAATACAACTCATGTGTCTCTTCACACTCGAAACCGCGTTTTTAACTTTCCATTCTTAACCATATCCCAACCGCTTTATAACATCTTCCACGACTCTTCTCTCTTTAATTATCCTATTTTTATAACTTTTCTTCTTTCCTCGTCCGACTCAAACTCTGTCTTTTCCTCTCAACACCTCAAACTAATGAACTATATATATATAGGTCTCGCTTGGGAACATAACCTTAGTTCATTCATATTTCAAGCAATTTCCACTTCTAGCTATCATCGTATTCATGAAATCTCAGACATATTTTTCTCCTAATGCTTCAATGGATTCTTCAATTGATAAGAAGAGTACTCCCAGTTCATCGCCCAAACAATCAACTTTCGCAAGATTACGTAGAAAACTCTCTCCAAGAAAGCCCGACTCGCGTTCTATTTCAGTAGAAAGCAGTGCCTGTAGCACAAGCAGTGGCGAGATACAAACGGTGTTCAACTACTTCGATGAGAATGGAGACGGAAGAATATCAGCAGCTGAGTTACAAAGCTGTTTGAGAACTGTGGGAGGGGAGCTGTCCGCGGCTGAAGCTGAAGCTGCCGTACAGTCTTCCGATTTAGACGGAGATGGGCATTTGGACTTTTACGAGTTCCAGAAGCTGATGGAGAACGGAAATGCTAACGAGGAGCAGAAAAATAGTGAGCTAAGAGAGGCTTTTGGGATGTACGTTACGGAAGGGTCGAGTTACATCACCCCAGCCAGTCTCGAGAGGATGCTCAGCCGTCTGGGTGAGTCCTCCTCCATCGACGATTGTAAGGCTATGATCCGCGTCTTTGATCTTAATGGCGATGGGGTCCTCAGCTTTGACGAATTCGCTGTGATGATGCACTAAACAGTTTTTTCTTGGTCTGAGTAGTTTGTAGTCGACAATCGATTGCATGTATTCTTTCATTGTTTCCACTGTACATTGTTAAGTAATCCCTTGGTTGATTATTTGTTCTACTTTTAAATAATTGAATTGAATTGATTTCTTGCTCCTTTCTGGTATATCCCTTCAATGTCACTTACACCTTTACGTTTCACAATAACTTCAGAAGAGTAGAAAGCAGAAACCCAGAATTAGAGCCCGCAAGTCTTCACATCAAAATTTTGATTTTCAATAGAATTTCACGCTATTAGAACTTTTCAGATATCATTGCCACAAAATTTAAATATTTTAAACTTATTAAAGTACCAAATCTGAGAATTATTGCCGTAACATCACATTAACAAGTAAAACAGACGCTTGGTCTTTCTAAATTTAGTTCTGTTACAAACATATATGGAACAAAAGAAATACAAAACCTCCATATCTATCTTCTCATATTCCATTAAGGGTGACTACAACTTTGCGAGCAGTGGGGACATCACGATGCTCACATAGCCATATTCCCTTAAACATCAAAAGAAACAAAATTAGATTCAAGATATCAAGTTGGCAAATAATAAAAAATATGCAGCAAATTGTTCTCAAATACATTATAGCTACATAGCAACAGTAACAGGGTATCCGGTGTCCATGGTGCACCTGGACATTTTAAGCAGGAAATGACCACAACACGGTTGGAAAATGATTATTTTTATAAATATTTAACATGCCAAGTATAATAAATTAAACATCTAAATACCAGAACGGTAATCCAGATATTAGATCTCAACTTTACACTGTTCCAGCTTGGCTAACATTTTGCTAATTCATGTGAAATAAATTCTGGTTTTGTGAAAGAAAAAGGCAATTATTGAGACATTCTTAATTGAATTAACTTGGTGGCTTGTTCTATTACTTTGTGATCGTGCCATCTCTTCTATAATTTGGTGTTTTTTTCCCAACTCTTCTATCTAACCATATATTTGATTATTATCCAAAAAAACTGGAATCACTTCATTATGATGCATAAATACACAATAGCTTATTCTTGGTTCCTGCGACCTAATTATTTAGGATCCAACGATTGAAGATCCAAGGATTTTTTTAAGATGCAGGTCTCAAACTAAGTTGATGAGCCATGCATTTCTATAAAACATGTTGATGGATTTTAAGACACATTATCAACACAAAAATTTTCCTCTCAACAGAAAAAAAAAGTCTGAAACCAAAGACAACTACACAATTCTATCACACCTGCCAAGTTCCCATATTCAGCTTTCCATCGGTGATGGGAATCCTGCACAAGAATAAGGACCAGGTAAATGGCAATCAAGCATTAAAATTTTAGAGCAAAAAAACAGTAGTAACAAAGGTGGGACATTCGCACGTTAGTGAGCAGCCAAACATTGATGATTTGATGTGTGCTGGCATGTCATCTGGGCCTGCAGAAGTTACACAGATCCAACATCAGCACTTGGGCAAACTTATGGATGACCGGGAAGTTCATATCATTCATATGGAACAAGGGTTAAGCAACTGTTTTACTAAATATAACCCTTCAATACAGTTCACATCATTATGTTTGAACTCATTAGTTCAATATGTTTAGAATTCACCCAGATTAAAACTAGAAATACCACTAATTGACAGTGACTTGTGATGAAGATAAAATTTTAAGCCAGATTTCATGCAGGATATGCTTCTAAGGAAAAGTTGGCATTATAGTGGGTATAACTACAGCACCTTCACAAAAGAGAGTAAAAACAAGGATATACTGAGGAGTTCAACAAGAGAGTAATATGACTAAACAGGGACTGTAAGAACACATGACTTCTTTCCAAAATCATATTTGAGATCATTTCATAATCAAGAGAATTCCTTTTTCATTGCAAAATTGCTATAAAGTTTTCTTCCAACACCAATTGATCCGATATCTTGTCTTTCAAGTTGCAGTTATATTTGTGATTATCTGCCACATAATTTGTCCCAAAATGTAATGTACCAGGAGAGATACTCCCAAAAGACAGGAACGAGTTAAAATTAAAATCCAAGCAAGAGAGCGTCTAGTAAATTGAAACAAAAATAAAGCCCAGACAAACCTTCCAGAGTATGCTTCCACGGAGCAGATCTCCCCTAAAAAAAAAAAAAAAACATAAAACCAATCCATCACTGATGAGTAAGATGAAGCATGCTACAAAATCGGAAACGTTTAGATGAAAGCAAATCAACCTCTGGAACTATTTTATTGAGGAAGGTCTCGGTGTCATCCCGAACATCAGAGTCGTAATTCTCATTAATGGTAAGAGAAGCACTTGTGTGGTGCACTGAAATGTTAAATTAACCACAAAAGATAAAATTTCCAACCAATAAAAAGTAGAAATTGAATAGCTAAAGTCTAAATTACGCAGGCCTCAACTGAAATAAATAAATAAATTAAATGACTTACGGAAGAGATGTGCGAGGCCGCATTTAAATTCAGACAAGTCTTTCCCAATTTCTTTCACTATCTGATTCCCGTGAAACCAAAGTGCTGTATACTTTAATTAAAATGAAAAATAAAAAATAAAAAGAGATGGTTAGGGTTGAAAGTTGGTGAACTTACCTTAGGAGTAATAAGATGACAGCCTCGGTGATGGGGAGGCAGAGTAATGGTCTTCTGCGCCCATTTAGGAGCAGTACCAGAAGCAGCCATTGAATTGTCACTGAGGGTGCCCGGATTGGCTGTGAACAGTGCTTTTATCCGAACCGAAGGTGGCTTTGAGATTACACCTGAAAACAAAGCTGAGCTTTGCATAGCGGAAATTACCAAAGGCAGCCCAATATACGAAACTGCTGGAAGGATTAGTAAGTTTGTTACAATAGTTGTAAGTCTAACGCCTACGCCACACCCGCACATTTGTATTCCAGTGGGCCGGCCCTGGACTAAAATGTGTGCGTTTGAATTGTCGGGGCCATCCGTGGTTGCAGTTTGCCCACCTTGCGATTCTCTATAGAGTAAACGACATGTTCCCACCCAAGGTTAAGCAACATGTAAAGTTCCCACCCGTAGTTTCATAAATTCCAATTCCCATCCTTAAATTAACATTGTTAATGAATTTAATAGCTAAAAGTATATTATTACTATACTACCCTTGACTTTTGATTTCAAGCACCTAGTCACCACCACAAACTCAGCCACAAAGCCACCCAAAAATCAACCACAATCACCATCACCATCACCACCCAGCTTTGCACGAACACTCTTATCCGATCACACCAGCCAACTACATCTGTGAAACCCAATCGCATAGTAGCCCTTCTCCCTACAAAAAGCAAATCCCTTGGACATTTCTCGAACACTTGGGGGTAGTCGTAGAAAACTTCAAAAATACCCTAAACCCTAAATCTGTCCTCAATCTCCCACAAAAATCCAACAACCAACAATTTTAAAAAACACAGCTGCAGCGACGGCAGTTGTGGAAATGGTCGTCCGTGACGAAGCAAAATGGCTAGAAAGGCAAAGGTCAGCAGCGTAGTATCCTTATAGTAGGTGGAGGCTATTGGATTTTGGTCGCCATAAGGCCATCACGATGTGGCCAAACTGGCCACAGCGTGATGGCCTTACGCTGGCCAAATCCAGCTGCTGCGGAGCCTATTCTGAGAAGTGAGAAGAGTGAAGAAGAGGGAAGAAGAAAGAAAGTAGGAGGAAGAGATGAAGAAGGAGAAGAGGAGAAGAAGAAGAAAAAGACGAGGCGACAGTGGTAGGGTGATGTTAGCTAGATCTGGGAGAGAAATGAGGGAGGGACAAGAGTGGGAAGGCTGTGGTGTCGGTTCAAAGACTATTTTACCCTTTCACCGTTTCATTCAACATTTTTCTGTTAATTTAAGGGTGAGAAAATGGAATTTATGAAACCAGGGGTGAGAACTGGGTATTGCACTTAACCTTGGGTGGGAACAAGTCGTTTGCTCTTCTCTATATTATATAGATTTTGTGCAAATTGATTTTGACATAAATTAAGGCATTCAACTAAAAATATAATAGTAAAATAAATAAACAAAAATAATTATTAGATTTTGGAGGGCATAGTGGACAATTCTCGATGCTTTATTTTTTAATATTATAAAGAAGAGTAAACGATTTTGTCCCACCCAAGGTTTGGCCTAATGACACTTGCCCATAAGGGTGGGTAAAATTTTAGGGTAGAACCGGAACCAATGGGTACCTGGGTGTCGGTTTCGGTTCCTACTCAGAACCAGCCATAATAGGGTAGGTTTCGGTTCCAAAAAATTGGAATTGATACTATGCGGTTCCGGTTTCGATTCCAAATCAAAGGAACTGGAACCGGAACTAGGACTAAATTGATATAATATTAAAAAATAGAGGGTTTTTTTTAATATTTTGCATATGGGGGAGGTTTTTTGACATTTTACATATCATATAAATATATAAGAAAAAATTGGTTTTTTTATCTTAGTATCAAAAATCTTATTAATTTTCATTAAAAGATAAGTTTTTCAAAATATTCTTATTAATATTTAAGTTTCACTTATTATTTGATTAAAAAATTAATATATATTAAGACATTTACGTTAAATAATAACTTTTAAATATTTATTATCAGTGAAAATAAACAATTAAATACTTATAATTAAGCATCAAACATCAAGTAAATATATAAAAAAAATATTATTTAATGTTTTGCACTTAATTGTTAGGGGTGTAATTGTAATTTTATAAGGGTTTATTTATCATTTTTTAGAAAATAGGGGGTAATATTTTTTACGTACCCAGAACTGGAAACTATGTTCCGGTTCCAAGTTTTCAGGAACTGGAACCGATGGTTCGGGTTTTGGTTTCAAATCAAAGGAACCGATCGGTTCCGGTCCCTTTGATTTTGGGCAGGTACCCATATGTGCCTACCCCTATTGCCCATCCAAAAAGTTTCAAATTATAATTTTACCATCCACTGCTACTCTCCGTCTATTCAAATTTCCATTTCACCGGATTTGACCATTGAAATAACTCTTTTACCCTTATAAATCATTATTAAATAAATTAATATTAAAAATAAAAACTAAAGGAAAAGTGAAAAATTAAAATAATAAAAAACCCAAACCTTAACCTCCAAAGCTCCAACCCGTTCTATCCTTCTTCCTCATCTACAAATCTACTCTTAGCCACAACCCCTTACAGTACACAACCAAAATCAATTTACCCTTATAAAACCCAAAATCATTCAAAAAAAAAACATAAAACCAATCCATCACTGATGAGTAAGATGAAGCATGCTACAAAATCGGAAACGTTAGATGAAAGCAAATCAACCTCTGGAACTATTTTATTGAGGAAGTCTCGGTGTCATCCCGAACATCAGGTCGTAATTCTCATTAATGGTAAGAGAAGCACTTGTGTGGTGCACTGAAATGTTAAATTAACACAAAAGATAAAATTTCCAACCAATAAAAAGTAGAAATTGAATAGCTAAAGTCTAAATTACGCAGGCCTCAATGAAATAAATAAATAAATAAATGACTTACGGAAGAGATGTGCGAGGCCGCATTTAAATTCAGACAAGTCTTTCCCAATTTCTTTCACTATCTGATTCCCGTGAAACCAAAGTGCTGTATACTTTAATTAAAATGAAAAATAAAAAATAAAAAGAGATGGTTAGGGTTGAAAGTTGGTGGAACTTACTTAGGAGTAATAAGATGACAGCCTCGGTGATGGGGAGGAGAGTAATGGTTTTGCGCCCATTTAGGAGCAGTACCAGAAGCCAGCCATGAATTGTCACTGAGGTGCCGGATGGCTGGGACTTGAGAACTGTGGGAGGGGAGCTGTCCGCGGCTGAAGCTGAAGCTGCCGTACAGTCTTCCGATTTAGACGGAGATGGGCATTTGGACTTTTACGAGTTCCAGAAGCTGATGGAGAACGGAAATGCTAACGAGGAGCAGAAAAATAGTGAGCTAAGAGAGGCTTTTGGGATGTACGTTACGGAAGGGTCGAGTTACATCACCCCAGCCAGTCTCGAGAGGATGCTCAGCCGTCTGGGTGAGTCCTCCTCCATCGACGATTGTAAGGCTATGATCCGCGTCTTTGATCTTAATGGCGATGGGGTCCTCAGCTTTGACGAATTCGCTGTGATGATGCACTAAACAGTTTTTTCTTGGTCTGAGTAGTTTGTAGTCGACAATCGATTGCATGTATTCTTTCATTGTTTCCACTGTACATTGTTAAGTAATCCCTTGGTTGATTATTTGTTCTACTTTTAAATAATTGAATTGAATTGATTTCTTGCTCCTTTCTGGTATATCCCTTCAATGTCACTTACACCTTTACGTTTCACAATAACTTCAGAAGAGTAGAAAGCAGAAACCCAGAATTAGAGCCCGCAAGTCTTCACATCAAAATTTTGATTTTCAATAGAATTTCACGCTATTAGAACTTTTCAGATATCATTGCCACAAAATTTAAATATTTTAAACTTATTAAAGTACCAAATCTGAGAATTATTGCCGTAACATCACATTAACAAGTAAAACAGACGCTTGGTCTTTCTAAATTTAGTTCTGTTACAAACATATATGGAACAAAAGAAATACAAAACCTCCATATCTATCTTCTCATATTCCATTAAGGGTGACTACAACTTTGCGAGCAGTGGGGACATCACGATGCTCACATAGCCATATTCCCTTAAACATCAAAAGAAACAAAATTAGATTCAAGATATCAAGTTGGCAAATAATAAAAAATATGCAGCAAATTGTTCTCAAATACATTATAGCTACATAGCAACAGTAACAGGGTATCCGGTGTCCATGGTGCACCTGGACATTTTAAGCAGGAAATGACCACAACACGGTTGGAAAATGATTATTTTTATAAATATTTAACATGCCAAGTATAATAAATTAAACATCTAAATACCAGAACGGTAATCCAGATATTAGATCTCAACTTTACACTGTTCCAGCTTGGCTAACATTTTGCTAATTCATGTGAAATAAATTCTGGTTTTGTGAAAGAAAAAGGCAATTATTGAGACATTCTTAATTGAATTAACTTGGTGGCTTGTTCTATTACTTTGTGATCGTGCCATCTCTTCTATAATTTGGTGTTTTTTTCCCAACTCTTCTATCTAACCATATATTTGATTATTATCCAAAAAAACTGGAATCACTTCATTATGATGCATAAATACACAATAGCTTATTCTTGGTTCCTGCGACCTAATTATTTAGGATCCAACGATTGAAGATCCAAGGATTTTTTTAAGATGCAGGTCTCAAACTAAGTTGATGAGCCATGCATTTCTATAAAACATGTTGATGGATTTTAAGACACATTATCAACACAAAAATTTTCCTCTCAACAGAAAAAAAAAGTCTGAAACCAAAGACAACTACACAATTCTATCACACCTGCCAAGTTCCCATATTCAGCTTTCCATCGGTGATGGGAATCCTGCACAAGAATAAGGACCAGGTAAATGGCAATCAAGCATTAAAATTTTAGAGCAAAAAAACAGTAGTAACAAAGGTGGGACATTCGCACGTTAGTGAGCAGCCAAACATTGATGATTTGATGTGTGCTGGCATGTCATCTGGGCCTGCAGAAGTTACACAGATCCAACATCAGCACTTGGGCAAACTTATGGATGACCGGGAAGTTCATATCATTCATATGGAACAAGGGTTAAGCAACTGTTTTACTAAATATAACCCTTCAATACAGTTCACATCATTATGTTTGAACTCATTAGTTCAATATGTTTAGAATTCACCCAGATTAAAACTAGAAATACCACTAATTGACAGTGACTTGTGATGAAGATAAAATTTTAAGCCAGATTTCATGCAGGATATGCTTCTAAGGAAAAGTTGGCATTATAGTGGGTATAACTACAGCACCTTCACAAAAGAGAGTAAAAACAAGGATATACTGAGGAGTTCAACAAGAGAGTAATATGACTAAACAGGGACTGTAAGAACACATGACTTCTTTCCAAAATCATATTTGAGATCATTTCATAATCAAGAGAATTCCTTTTTCATTGCAAAATTGCTATAAAGTTTTCTTCCAACACCAATTGATCCGATATCTTGTCTTTCAAGTTGCAGTTATATTTGTGATTATCTGCCACATAATTTGTCCCAAAATGTAATGTACCAGGAGAGATACTCCCAAAAGACAGGAACGAGTTAAAATTAAAATCCAAGCAAGAGAGCGTCTAGTAAATTGAAACAAAAATAAAGCCCAGACAAACCTTCCAGAGTATGCTTCCACGGAGCAGATCTCCCCTAAAAAAAAAAAAAAAACATAAAACCAATCCATCACTGATGAGTAAGATGAAGCATGCTACAAAATCGGAAACGTTTAGATGAAAGCAAATCAACCTCTGGAACTATTTTATTGAGGAAGGTCTCGGTGTCATCCCGAACATCAGAGTCGTAATTCTCATTAATGGTAAGAGAAGCACTTGTGTGGTGCACTGAAATGTTAAATTAACCACAAAAGATAAAATTTCCAACCAATAAAAAGTAGAAATTGAATAGCTAAAGTCTAAATTACGCAGGCCTCAACTGAAATAAATAAATAAATTAAATGACTTACGGAAGAGATGTGCGAGGCCGCATTTAAATTCAGACAAGTCTTTCCCAATTTCTTTCACTATCTGATTCCCGTGAAACCAAAGTGCTGTATACTTTAATTAAAATGAAAAATAAAAAATAAAAAGAGATGGTTAGGGTTGAAAGTTGGTGAACTTACCTTAGGAGTAATAAGATGACAGCCTCGGTGATGGGGAGGCAGAGTAATGGTCTTCTGCGCCCATTTAGGAGCAGTACCAGAAGCAGCCATTGAATTGTCACTGAGGGTGCCCGGATTGGCTGTGAACAGTGCTTTTATCCGAACCGAAGGTGGCTTTGAGATTACACCTGAAAACAAAGCTGAGCTTTGCATAGCGGAAATTACCAAAGGCAGCCCAATATACGAAACTGCTGGAAGGATTAGTAAGTTTGTTACAATAGTTGTAAGTCTAACGCCTACGCCACACCCGCACATTTGTATTCCAGTGGGCCGGCCCTGGACTAAAATGTGTGCGTTTGAATTGTCGGGGCCATCCGTGGTTGCAGTTTGCCCACCTTGCGATTCTCTATAGAGTAAACGACATGTTCCCACCCAAGGTTAAGCAACAAGTAAAGATCCCACCCGTAGTTTCATAAATTCCAATTCCCATCCTTAAATTAACATTGTTAATGAATTTAATAGCTAAAAGTATATTATTACTATACTACCCTTGACTTTTGATTTCAAGCACCTAGTCACCACCACAAACTCAGCCACAAAGCCACCCAAAAATCAACCACAATCACCATCACCATCACCACCCAGCTTTGCACGAACACTCTTATCCGATCACACCAGCCAACTACATCTGTGAAACCCAATCGCATAGTAGCCCTTCTCCCTACAAAAAGCAAATCCCTTGGACATTTCTCGAACACTTGGGGGTAGTCGTAGAAAACTTCAAAAATACCCTAAACCCTAAATCTGTCCTCAATCTCCCACAAAAATCCAACAACCAACAATTTTAAAAAACACAGCTGCAGCGACGGCAGTTGTGGAAATGGTCGTCCGTGACGAAGCAAAATGGCTAGAAAGGCAAAGGTCAGCAGCGTAGTATCCTTATAGTAGGTGGAGGCTATTGGATTTTGGTCGCCATAAGGCCATCACGATGTGGCCAAACTGGCCACAGCGTGATGGCCTTACGCTGGCCAAATCCAGCTGCTGCGGAGCCTATTCTGAGAAGTGAGAAGAGTGAAGAAGAGGGAAGAAGAAAGAAAGTAGGAGGAAGAGATGAAGAAGGAGAAGAGGAGAAGAAGAAGAAAAAGACGAGGCGACAGTGGTAGGGTGATGTTAGCTAGATCTGGGAGAGAAATGAGGGAGGGACAAGAGTGGGAAGGCTGTGGTGTCGGTTCAAAGACTATTTTACCCTTTCACCGTTTCATTCAACATTTTTCTGTTAATTTAAGAGTGAGAAAATGGAATTTATGAAACCAGGGGTGAGAACTGGGTATTGCACTTAACCTTGGGTGGGAACAAGTCGTTTGCTCTTCTCTATATTATATAGATTTTGTGCAAATTGATTTTGACATAAATTAAGGCATTCAACTAAAAATATAATAGTAAAATAAATAAACAAAAATAATTATCGGATTTTTGAGGGCATAGTGGACAATTCTCGATGCTTTATTTTTTAATATTATAAAGAAGAGTAAACGATTTTGTCCCACCCAAGGTTTGGCCTAATGACACTTGCCCATAAGGGTGGGTAAAATTTTAGGGTAGAACCGGAACCAATGGGTACCTGGGTGTCGGTTTCGGTTCCTACTCAGAACCAGCCATAATAGGGTAGGTTTCGGTTCCAAAAAATTGGAATTGATACTATGCGGTTCCGGTTTCGATTCCAAATCAAAGGAACTGGAACCGGAACTAGGACTAAATTGATATAATATTAAAAAATAGAGGGTTTTTTTTAATATTTTGCATATGGGGGAGGTTTTTTGACATTTTACATATCATATAAATATATAAGAAAAAATTGGTTTTTTTATCTTAGTATCAAAAATCTTATTAATTTTCATTAAAAGATAAGTTTTTCAAAATATTCTTATTAATATTTAAGTTTCACTTATTATTTGATTAAAAAATTAATATATATTAAGACATTTACGTTAAATAATAACTTTTAAATATTTATTATCAGTGAAAATAAACAATTAAATACTTATAATTAAGCATCAAACATCAAGTAAATATATAAAAAAAATATTATTTAATGTTTTGCACTTAATTGTTAGGGGTGTAATTGTAATTTTATAAGGGTTTATTTATCATTTTTTAGAAAATAGGGGGTAATATTTTTTACGTACCCAGAACTGGAAACTATGTTCCGGTTCCAAGTTTTCAGGAACTGGAACCGATGGTTCGGGTTTTGGTTTCAAATCAAAGGAACCGATCGGTTCCGGTCCCTTTGATTTTGGGCAGGTACCCATATGTGCCTACCCCTATTGCCCATCCAAAAAGTTTCAAATTATAATTTTACCATCCACTGCTACTCTCCGTCTATTCAAATTTCCATTTCACCGGATTTGACCATTGAAATAACTCTTTTACCCTTATAAATCATTATTAAATAAATTAATATTAAAAATAAAAACTAAAGGAAAAGTGAAAAATTAAAATAATAAAAAACCCAAACCTTAACCTCCAAAGCTCCAACCCGTTCTCTCCTT